AATCATTCTAAGCAACATATGGCAATCTGCGGTCTTTCCTTGCACTTAGGTGGCACGGAAAGCCGTAAAAATCTTGAACAAAAGCTCATCTTTCAAACCGGCAGTCTAAATCCCACAGGGATCAATGAACGCTTTTCATTCCACTAATTTATTCATGTTTTTCTCGTTGCCATGCACCCACCAATAACGTAGCTCCATTTTCTGCCTTTAAAAGCACACACAACCCACAATTCCTCTATTCGCTCCGACGAAGGGCTAACGCTCGAAACGTCAGCTTTTGTAATCATTACGGTGGCCAATTTACCATTTCAACTTTGTTGATATATCCAAATTATTTCGTTACTCCCACCGACGCAGCCCCAAACAGTTTCTTTCGAAACTATCAGCCTTTACTCATTATTTCAATGATGCGAACTTACGTAGTAAAGTATTACTGTATGATAATTATTTTTTTATACCCACTCTTTATCATTTCCCCTATTTCTGATCGGGGATTTTTTTTTATCATTTTCCAAATTTCCTCCTTTAAATGTTACAACGTTACAATAAGCAGTTAGAATTCTAATGTAATTGAATCAAGGAAAATATTAACCACTAAACCATTCACTAGGACGGCAAAGTCATTCCAAAGAGATCATTTTGGTCCTAGAATGTTTAAGCTCCCCTGGCCATTCATTGAAACAACACCCTCAAGAGCACACTTTTCCCTATCCTCAAGCGCGTCCCCTAATTGGAGTGTCCACTATATTTAGGCCCTCTATTTAAAACACTAATTTGCAAAATTTGTTCCAGTATCACATTATCAGCCAAAGTCAAACGGAACTTTGTAAAACGTATCCATTTATGGACTCATTTTTGCAAGACAACTCAATTCTATTCATAAACGGACTGCAGGTGAAAAAATAATTAAAGTTAGATTTATTGGTAAAAACTTTTCTTTGCGGAACAAAAACATCTCCAACTCTTATGGCAAGAGAGACTGCATCAATGAGACAACTTTGTAAAATGTATTTCCTTTATCGTGAACCCTTGAGCTGTGTTGTTGTCGTTTTGTTTTGTTAATTTATTGCGATTTCTTACGTCGCAGACTTTTTGCTCTTGATTTATCTAAATCAAATCAATATAAAAGTTTTCCAACTATTTTAACGACTTTGAAAAAGTAAAAAACCGATTCACTGGCGCAATCTACTCACTGTTTTTTTTTTTTTTTTTTTTTTTTAATGACAGACATAATTTGCCGTCAAGAAAGGTTTGTTATCGAACAAAACCATTAAGCATAACGAGGTAAATTTCGTAACAGTAAACTTTTAGTCACTAATGTCTATGTACAATACGTAGATTGATCTCCTTATGGAATTTAGGCCCCCAAAAGTTCCGATAGAACTCGAAAGTTCTCAATATAAAACGTGTTTCAGTATTGTTTGTGCGTATGAATGCAAATCTCGTTTGCTTTTGAACAGATTCAAATCAGATCGATAAGAAAGAACAGAACATTTTTGCTGTGACGTTATGTCCACAAAATGAAAGTTGAAAAAGGATTTTTGTCGACATAGTACAATTTTCTTTCTGAATTTCTTGTTAGGGAGATTGAGCCAGGGAATTACTAAATTTATAGTCTGTCTAGTTAATACTGCATAATTAATATTAATTGAATTTTGAATTCGTTCGATTTACTTCTTCCTCAACCAAATTATCCGACATTTTAATTACTTTTAAACAATCACACCAAAGTTAATGTAACTTTTAACGAGTAATTTGATATTTTGTGGTGAAGAAGATTCGAAAAAGGCCAACAAATAGTCCTGTTTTGGCGCTATAATGTTAAAATTGTTGTCTCGATTCCTTCAACTCAAAATAACATATTTCACCTACCATCTCTTTCTTCAAGGCCAATAACATTTGTTTCGGAGTTTCGTCTCTTTCCTCTGCTTGTGCTATCATCTTATTCAGTGTGAATAATCTCTTGGTCCCAAATAAACGTCGATCAGTTATTCTCCAAGCTTAGTTGGCGAGATTTCACTCAGCGTTTTGTTCTTAATCTGCATTTTTAGACGTGATTCATAACATACTCGTAGAACAACCGACTTTCGAGGGCAATGTCAAGAGTACCAAGGGTTTAGCGACCAATATTCGACCGTAAATTTAAAATGCCCTGAGATTAGACAGGTTTTGTCCTGTCTTTGGACGCGACGTTACAAGCTTTATGCGCCACGATAGGAAATTATATACACAACCGTCGGATTAACAAAAGATTTAAATGAAGTTAAGACGATGAATCAACAAAAAACATCGTAAACAGACCAAAGACTGAGAAAAGCCATTCAAAATGAATGATGCGTTTTAAGACTGTCACTCTCTTTGATTGACAACTCACAGTTGCGCGGGTAAACTTGTAAGCATTGATTCCCAATATGTTCAATTTTTGGTTGAACTCGTGACGATCGAGATTGATTTATGCAAAACAGTTACTATTTTGACACTTCACGAAACAAAATGAAGTCTGCCCTAAAATTACCGAGAGACGGTGTCAAACAGCATGAGAATGTTTTGTCGAAAATGCCAAGTGTCAGAGGCTCAAAGTAACTCGTGGTACAAATCTGAAAAGGTACATCTAGGCCAATAGCTGTGATGAGGGCCATGATCGGTCACGATTCATCGCTAATTAACAATACTCACTTGTTGCCGTAAGTTCCCCTTCCCCTCCCCCCTGAGGGTTATCAGTATTCAGAGCCTTTGCATGAGGACCCCATCCTCGGAGACCCAGGGGCTGAGTCGATTTCAAGTTAAGGGCAGAAGAGCCCCTGGGGACATTATCTTACAAGACTAGTTCCAAACGGTCGCAGTCGTTCTGGCATCTGATTGGTGCCAGAAAATTTTTGTGTTTTTCTGCCCAATCAGAGTGAAGTGTGCTTTGGAGTCCTTTCGTGTGTTAAACGGACGTATAACGGACATATAACAAATACGGACATATAACAAGAAGCTCTGTTCCTCGCTATGTTTCTTTGGGGCGTGCGACGAAGCTTTGCCCGAGGTAAAAGTTTCAGTCTCAGCACACAATGTAAGAGAAATCGATCAGATTGTCCGAGAAAATCTTACCGGTAATTATACTGAATACTTCCGCAGGTATCACAAGAGAACGAGTTAAAAAATTTGCGGGGTTCGTATAAAACATAATGCTTGCATGCATTGATATGTGGCTTTAAACGTTAGATGAGATGTAAGCTTAAATCTCTCAGATTTTTTGTCTAATTTGCTGTAACTGAAACTTTTCCAATCCCGTGAAGCTATTTTGTCGCACTGGCCACGCAGGTATGTCGAGCAACTGGCGCTTGTACAGCTTTCTGTACACGCCAAACTCGAATCTAACCTTCGCCTGAAATAAAAGAAAAGCTAAGCGTGGAAACTTTTGTTTATTAGATGTGGGTAGATAACCCTATACTAAGCTGACATTTACAACAAAGCAAGCCCGCCCTAAGGTTCAATGCATCAGGCTCGTATTCATTGGCCGAGTTAATCGTACTTTGACCTTTCGATATTCAGAACTAATTTTTTTTTAGCTCCATCAGAAACTGAATTGCTTATGCTAATGAGGCAAATATTGTAAACAAGGATTCCACAAAGGCGCTTCTGAGAGGGGATTTAGACTACAAAGATACGGAGATATGGAGAGAGGTGTGTTAATAAATGAGGTAAGCGGTACACATTTCTTTGTTTGAGCATGTGTATGCATAAACAATATCAAAAATAGAGACTTTTACAAGCTTACATATACGAGAATATTCTGAAATGGAAGGCGACTTACAGTGTCAGATACCATTTCTATAGGATTACCATCATGATTTATGTTTTTGTTTTGGCACTGTATAGTAGTTTGGAAAAAAAGGGAGTTTTAACGGTTCAGATGCAGGTATTTGTGTTCATCTCGGGTCAGTTCTATTTTGTTCAGTTTATTTCCTTCTATAGAAGTATTAAGCATTGCCTACCGTAAAAGACGGCATTCTCAGTTGACCAAATGGCCTGAATTATTAGTGCCATCCGACTGACGCGGAAAGTTTCTTAAGCTGACGTTTCGAGCGTTAGCCCTTCGTCAGTGCGAATAGAGGAGTTATGGGTTGTGTGTGGTTCATCTGCAGAGAGATGGAGCAAGGCTATTAGTGGGAATGATAACTTGAACAAGGAAAAAACAAACCAAAACACATGATAAATCAGCCGAATGAAAAGTGTTCGTTAACACCGTGAAGATTTAGAGTGGTTATTTAAAAGATAACTTTTTGTTCTAGAGATTTACGGCCCTAAAAACCAAATTATCTTGTAATACCCCTCCCCCCACCACCCACAGAAGCAACAATTCAGGACTCGACAATAACTTTCCAACTTACTGGCCAGGTGACTAGTGACATCTTAGATGTTACGTACAACAATTTCAGTTTGTTTACTGGCCAAACTGGCTAATGGAAATCGAAAACCACTGGCCAAAACTGAAATTCTACTAGTCTGTGGTTAGTTGGTTACCGTTAGTGTCGAGCCCTGAACACCACAGTTTCTTTAAAAACGGACTCCCTTCATTCATCTGACCTTAAAGTTAAGTTAAATCAAAGGAGTTATACTAAGTATGATTATCATAATCGTACATAATGGTAATTGAAGTGAGTGTAGTGTAATTTGTATAGATTATCGCATGATTTCAAGTGGAATTTGGGATAAGTCACCACATGTAAATTTTTCAAAGGATAACCTCATTGCGCAAGCCCTTAGAGTTGGGATAACCGCTTGTAAGAGATTAAATCGCGCGGTTTATGAAAGTGAGATTATCACAATGGAGCGAGAGTGGGCGTTTTATCAAATGAATTAGAATTTTCCGGGAGGAAGTAAGTTCCTTTTAATCATTTTGAGCATGCTTTATCTGTGTCTCTGCTGATAACATTATTTCAAAGAATGCTTTCACTATACTTTATGATGTGACAAGGCGCAACCAAACGTTATTTTTGTTTATTATTTATGTTGCCAACATGAGCCAAGCCTCTAACTTTAGACTAAGAACCGCTGATGACTCATCTGAATACCGCTGGCTCTTGGTTTCTTATTCGACGAGGAAAATCGGTCTTTTGCGGTTTTCCTTCTCTTATCCCCTTCCAGACGGTGAGAAATAGCTGTCTTTCTCGACGAAACTCATAATGTTTGGTTTCTTTAAGACTCTCAGACGTACTCCATCATTCTGTTGAGATTTCTTTTCACAATTCTGCTCAAGAAAACAACAACATGGCTTCCGCTAGTGATCACGGAAACTCTATTGTCATTGAAGACGATAGCCAATTTCAGCAACAACTCCATCAAGCTGGGAACAGACTGGTTGTGGTAGATTTTACTGCATCTTGGTAAGATTATGGATCACTATTGTTCTACATCGGGTGACACAATACACTCAAGTTACGTAATTTAAATGCGTGAATTTGTGATTTGCAGTTGTCCGTTTTCTGAACCGAAGGTTCTGTCTTGCAGAGGGAGTTTTTCGATCGTTTTACGGCTAAGTGCGATTAAATTTTAAACCGCTATGTGTGATTAAATTTTTAAACTGCAGTGTTTAGTTTTGCCATAATTTTTCATTTTTAGTTTCCTGGCTTTTCTTTGTGAAATTTAAACATGAAACAGACGTGAGTTAGTGCACGCACGGATAATCTAAATCATTTGTTTATGAGTGCTGAAACAGTAATATCGGAATTATAATGACCTTGTTTGAAATTACTCCTTAGACCAAGGAACTTATTATCTTAACTGAACCTGTCTTTCTTGAAGAATATTTCAAAACTTGAGATTTCACGTACTGGGACTCTCTAGATCATTCACGGCTCGAGTTGCTACTTTTAGAATATATAAGTTAATTTCTATTCGATTAATTGATAAAGCGTATCAACTCATCGCATCAGTTTGGGTTGAAGGCTCTCAATACAGGGCGGGACCGGATGATTGATCATAGTTAACAGCTGCTCATGTCTTGTTACTTGTGCTTTTAAAACTCTTTATCTCTTTTTCATTCTTTAAAGCCTTCCACTTTTGGATGGCAGACACCTTTCTCAAATCATGAAGAGAAAACTTGTTAAAAATAAATTCAATTGATGATATTATCTGTTTTTGAAATTATCACTCATAAATTGTAAACAATGTCTGGATATGCTTTCATCTCTGTAGATGTGCCTTAAGCAAATAAACCTGAAGGCTAACTCTCCTATCAAAATATTATCTGTACATATTCAAGAGCTTCAAAATCACATTGAAAGATGGATAGATTTGAACTTTTGCTGTGTGCCTACTAGGTGTTTCTGCAGTTATTTAAAAGTAAGCATTTTTTTCAAAAATGAAGCCTTCTTTTCAGTTTCAATGGTAGATCTCTTCAAGGAACAGAAGAAAAGGAAATAAAGATCAGAGATAAAATATTGCAGTTTCCATTTTTATCAGAGGAAGTTTGCAATTTATTGAATCCTATTAGATTTATTAGATCTTAGACTCTGGCAAGATTTGTGACAATTAATTGTGTGATCTGTGTGGACTTGTTCATGTAGGTGTGGTCCATGCCGTATGATGGCCCCTGTGTTTTCAAATTTGAGTGTGAAATATTCAGCGGCTGTTTTTCTGACTGTTGATGTTGATAAGTGTCAGGTGAGCAAGAAATACACAAATAGAAATTGTCATTCATTGTTGGATAATTTTTGCGTAGCATGTAGTGAGAAACGAATATCGAAGAAGGTTTGAATATAAAACCTCTATACAGACTGGCCACATGCAAGAAGAAACCTTGTTCATGTATATGGTGTACCTCTTCTGTGGGTCAAATGACAGAGGATCACCCTGCAAACTTGGAAAGTCTGTGGTTCATTCAAATGTGCACAGTAAGACCAAAGATCTTTTCTTTCTCTGACCCATGCAACAAATGTTTCACCCTTCATTCCTTAGGCTAAATAAGGATTTCAGTTTTTCACCTTGGGCTAGGTGCTTTGGACTGTTGATGTAAACTTTAACCTTTTTAACTCCCAAGATCTGATTGTAAATTCTCCCTTCAAGCTCCTGCATTTCCCTTTGTAAATTAGTAATGAAAACTTGGTGTTGGATCAAAATAAGAATTTGCTACCTTTCTATAACATCAAGAAATGGTTAGATATTCTAGTCTTCTCGGATAAATGAATAAATGGATAAATGAATAAGTGGAGGTCCCGTCTCCTACAGGGTTGGGCGTAGGAGACGTTAATTTCCCACACACGAGATTACTGTGTGGGGGATGTCCTCCCCCAGGGTGGGATGGGTGGGTTTCTAAATACACGACCCCACCAGCTCTGCTGAATACTCCATTGTGTATAAATAAAGAAATCAGTCAGTCAGTCAACAGTTTGGACCTGATAAGTTTGAGTATTCTCATTACCTGTTTGCAGGATAATGTATGGATATTATAGGGAGAAGTTACATGTACATCACTTTTAGGAGTTAAAGAGTTAAACAAATGTATTCTCCTTTGGGTTTACTTAAGAATCATTGGTGTAAAATATTTTTTGTTTCATGTTATTCTTTTTCCAGAGGACTGCTGCACAGCAGGGAATCAGAGCCATGCCAACATTCTTCTTCTTCAAGAACAGAAAGAAAGTGGATGAAATGCAGGGAGCCAACCCCACAGGCCTGGAAGACAGAATCAATCAGTGGATTGGAGGGGCTGTGGAAACAACAGTAATTATGTCTTTGTTATTTGATTTTTAGCCAACCTTATATGAAAGGCATGGCGGCCTCATGGTTAGCGTGCTCAACTGCGGATCAATAGGTCTAAGGTTGAGCTGGCCGGAGACATTGTGTTGTGTTCCTAGGCAAGACACCACTCTCACACTCACAGTGCCTCTCTTCACTCAGTTGTTTAAATGGGTACCAGTAAATTTAATGCTGGGGGGGGTAACCCTTTCATGGACTAGCATGCCATCCAGGGGGGAGTAGAAATACTCCTAGTTGCTTCATGCTACAGAAGCCAGAGTTAAGCACCAGTGTGATGGGCCACTCAGCTCATTAACAAACTTTTTGTATGAAAGCCAGCAGGCTAGAGACTAGTGAGTTTGTCAGCTGATACACAGGGCTCAGGTAAGTTCGGGAGTGAGAAAGGGGGAAGGAGGAAGTATTCTTCTTTTGAACACAGGGGCTGGAGCAAGTTGAAGGGGGCAGGAGGTAGTGGTAGTACTCTATGCTTTGCTTTCCCAACTTTGATGCCAGCTGCCTACTCTTTATCTTTGATTGAAAAACCCTACAGATGATGTATGAAGGATTGTTTGCAATTTTATAGTTATCCTTCTCTTTTCACCCTTTCTTGTCCAGTCTCCTTCCTGACTTTTTTGCTGTGATTCTGTTCCCTGTCTTCTTCTGTTGTAAAGTTTCCTCTGATCCAACTGGTTTTTACAGTTTTTAATCAGAGACTGAGCACCAAAAAATTTGTCTCAACCTGAAGTAAGACTTTCTCCTGAAAATTTCGCAGTAATGTGTCTGGAGTTTTCATGAGTAAGATTGCCAAGTTCACACCCTATACTATAGCCTTAGTCCTGATCGTTTGTGCCAGAAAAACGTGATAAAATCTGTGGGAGGGGCATCACCCCAATTGATATACACTGCATACAATAGAAGTTACAAGACACCCTTTCACATCATGCTGTCGTGACTGGGATAGGCTACTAGGCTACAGCTCTGTAGAATTTGTGTAGTGCAGTACATGTATTTGTCAGTGATCTTCTTTCTTTTTTTGCCTGTACCATTATTATGTTTTTATTTGGCTTTTCTTGTTATATTTCAGACAGTGGATCCCAAGAGAGTTGCAACAGGTCGTAGCTGGGACTGTTTTGAACAGCTACTGGACAACCCGCCAGAAGTCTTCATGGATGTGTCACAGCTCCTTCTTAAGTTTGCGTCCAACATCATCAACAATCCTGATAATCCAAAATACCGAGCCATTAGAGTCAGCAACAAGATTTTCCAGTCACGTCTTCTTCCAGTGAATGGAGCTGTGGAATGTCTCTTCACCATGGGATTCCAAGAGGTATTACTGGAAAGAAAACTTAATTTCCATCAGGGCTATCAATAAGTTTGAAAGTACAGGCAAACCTCCACTTACAGCCTTCTTTCTATAATGGCGACCCCTCCACAACGGTCACTTTTGGTCCCAGCAGGCTGTTCATACATTCAATTAAACCCTTGTATAACAGCCACTTCCCCACTAGGGCCACTTTCTCCTGTCCTTGGGGTGCCTGTTTGCAAACATCCTCACAATACATGCTCCTGTCCTTGGGATGGCTGTGGCGGAAAGGTTCAACTGTAGAAGGAAAACAAGATGAATCAGGTGGCCATGCTATTGTGGATGCCTTGTTATTGTGGAGGCCATGTTGTTTCAAAACGTTGTACTACAAATTTCAGGAGGTTTGATAAGTTTGAAGAAAACAGTAAAAACTGCATAATAGGCAGCTAATAGAAGTTCAATCTTGACTCAAATGTTGTTGATTTCAGAGAAAACAGCTGCTGATTTTTCTTCACATAGATGGCAAATTTAGCTGGTTCCCAGCTCTTGTTGAAACCCTTATAGTTTGGGAATTACTCAGTTAAAATTACCTAGGTGTCCAACAAAATTTGCACCAAGCAAATTCTGAATATGAAATAACAGAAAATGGTTACAGGTGATTTATGCATTCAGTCTCACTAAAAACTGGGAATTGGCTGGTGTGAATTTATGGATAGTATTTTGATAGTCGTATATATTATGTTAAAATGAGGCAAAAGTAACCAGCTAAAGATAGCAATTAACAATTTGTATCAAATTTTGCAGAGAGGTGACCAACTAGTGTGCCCCCAAGGCGAATCGTTAGAAAACATGTTAATTCTTCAGGACGCGTTGAACGACGAGAGAAGTCATCGTAGCGCTGCACAGGAACCTGAACCAACTCCAACTTCAACTCCAACTTCAACTCTAGCACCAGTTAACCAACCTCAAAACAATGGCCCTTCGTGTGGACAACCAACCATTGTTTCCAGTCCAACTGCATATCCATCGGTAATGATTTTGTCTTCTCTTCAATAACCCCTTGTTTAAGATAAGAAAAGGAGGGAGGCTTGATGCTCCGGTGGCCCTTAAGATCAGTGGCACAGAATCGATCCCTAAATGATCATTTTGTTGGTGTTCTTTCGGACACTCAATTCGTACAGTACTCGTGTTCCTCTGGGATATAGAACCTCTTTGGGTTTTTTCTGATGCCAAAATTTTTGCAGTGGTAAGATGGCTAATTATTTCTCAACTGGCTGTCGTGAAACTGAGAGAGAAGGGATGGGGGGGGGGGCAAGGGTCTGTCGAGAATTAGTCTTGGAACCCCCCTCCCCCCATAAAAAATTCATACCCCTCTTAAGGTCCTGCAGCAAAGATTTCACTCAATTTGAATAATTTGGATGGGGATAATTTTATTTCTATAAGAAGTTTAACGTCAGAATGATGGGTTAGGGTTCGAAAACAGCTCTACTTTCAAGAGCAATCCAAATGAAAGATTTTTTTATTTTTGTTATTATAGGACAAGGAGAAGGACTTTCTCCTGAGACTTCACAGCTCGCTACAACATGTGCTTCTTTACGAAGATAAAGATTTGCAGCGAAGAGCACGGGAAATGATTCCTTTGGCTGAGTTAGAGAGGAAGGCCAAAGAAGCCAGTGAAAGAACAAAGCAGGGAGGGGACGGTGGAGTGGATGAAAGAGATTGCCTAGTGTTAGAAATGCTGAACTGGTTCAAAGGTAAATGCACTGTAACTATATCTTACTAGATAATTTAGTGTGTATTATCACTGAGTATTTTACGAGTCGTGGGTTCTTTAATGAGTTAAAAATACTCAGCGACTCTACATACCAAAACGTCCAACAATATCCCGCCATCTTGACCAAACAAGCTTGGTTGATAAAGGATTTATTATATTGCAAAAGGATTTCGCTTTATTAAGAACGACTTCACTTCGAGAGTCGAGAAAGAAAGCCAACTCTGTTTGTAGCACAACAAACTCGCAAGAGTCGTTTCTATTTTTTTTTTCGGTGTGACTATTTTGGTCTTCTGCCGCTTTTTGCATTTACATCGCCGAAATACCCCAAGAATTACGAACTTAGTTCTAATTCTTATCTTTTTCATGCGCGGGATCAATGTGGGCAATCTCAAGCATGGGCCCATCTTGCCCGCACGGGTAGCCAATCAGAATACAGGACTCGCTTCATCTTGCCCACGGACGCTGTGAGCGATGAAGTAAGGTCCAATAATATAAATGTGCTACATGTTCAGTATTTCCAAGGTGGCTTAGATCAGCTAAATTGATAACGTCTTTTTCTCTATATTCCAGGTACTTTTTTCAAGTGGGTGGACAAACCTTCATGCCCGTCATGTGGTTCTCTAACGTTTGCTGTCGGTGTGGTTCCCCCAACACCTGAGGAAATGCTGTGGGGTGCTGGGAATGTAGAGAGCTACAAATGTCTAAACTGTGGAAAGGTTACGAGATTCCCAAGATATAATCATCCTGCAAAACTTTTAGGTGAGAATATGGGGCAAGATCTTTTCAATCAAGAACTCATTTTTATTTAACAATTAGATTCCATGTTGCCAAGGGTCTGTGGAGTAATATATCATAGATGACGTAAAAACAAATAAGTGGAATGAAAGGCGCTGCCGAGGTGTCACTATATTCTCACCACGTTTTGACGTCTCGTGTAATCTGTCACTATACAGATACACGGCAATATGGAATCTATTTGTCAATCGGAGCGTGATATTGAGGGTTTCATACAGTGGCAACCTTCGGCTAGAAAGTGCCTTGACTTTTTATTTATTTATTTGTAGAAACGCGCAGTGGCCGATGCGGTGAATGGGCCAACTGTTTTACATTATGCTGTCGAGCTGTTGGATTTGAGGCGCGACACATTTTGGATTGGACAGATCATGTGTGGACAGAAGTGTATTCTGTAGCTCAAAAGAGATGGCTACACTGTGACTCTTGTGAAAACGCCTGCGATAAACCGCTGCTTTATGAGGCTGGCTGGGGAAAGAGACTCAGTTATATTATAGCGTTCTCACATGAGCAGGTCAGTTTAGTGACTGTATTTGTAGACTATTTAACAACAGGAGTTTTTCGATGTTAATTCTTTTCATGCTGTGCGTGTTTGATGAGGATATAGGTCTTGGATGTGACATGGCGATACTCTGCTAAGCATGAAGAGGTGAAAAAGGCAAGAAATCTAGTGTCTGAAGCCTGGTTGGTGGAGACGTTGAATAGAATGACTCTAGAGGTGAGGGCAATTGCGGGTAAATATGCGACAATGTAAGGAAGGCAAACGGGGAAAAAAAAAAGTCCTTCAGAAAAAGCGCAGGAAAAAAAGATGAGCGGTGAGAAACAGGAACGGATAGCTGGTTAAAAGTGCGGGAAAGTGAGCAACTGATGTAAAACGCTGGTAAACGAAAAGCAAGTCAAAGTGGAAGATTTAAAAATCAATGATAATGTGGGTAAACAAATAACGGGCGAGAAAGGCGGGAAAACGAGTAACAGGCAGAAAAGGCGGGAAATCGGGTAACGGGCATAAAAGGCGGGAAAACGAGTAACGAGCAAAAATAGGCGGGGAAACGAATAACGGGCGAGTAAGACGGGAAAACGAGCAATCACCGAGTTCATTGTTGGAGATAATCCGGTGAAAAACTGTTGAAAATAAATGGCAAAAAACGCTCACTAACTAGTATTCGGGGATAGCAAGTTAATGTTACTGTTCAAGAGTGACAATAAGCATCAATTTTTGACTAGCGACGGGCGCGGACATCTGCCTCCACTGAAAATTTAGGGGTTATCTTTCACCACCTCTTTGCTGCCCTTATCAGCTTACTAAAATAAAGTGTTCGTTTTAGCACCAAAGAAACCTTAGTGAAGCTCGGCGGAAAGTTTTAGCAGAGCGCCAGGTGAAGGAATTGGTAGAGTTCTTCACCATCAAGTCTGTTCGTCATGATGAACTACAGGGGCGAGTGTCGGGTTCTTTGGCCTGGAGGCTGCTTCGAGGCGAAACAAAACAACAAGCAGATGAACAGAAGGTGAATCACAAAATACTTGTTTTGTGCCATTTTCTGTTAGTGCAAAATTACACCCATTTCGAGAAGGAAACTGTACAATACAAACCTGTTAAGATAGGAAGCTATGATTGAGGCAGTAATAGACAAGGAAAGAAGATGGATAGGCAAGGATGACGAAAAATAACGCGGATTACAAATGATGATTGTAAAACTTCGCAAACGAAGATGTAGCTTCTTCCACAGCCTTTTCACCAGTCTCTCCTAGTCTCCCTTCCCCAAGTTGTCATGCATGTTCATTTTGAATAAGTTCTTCTGCTTAGCCTCTTGAAAGACGTTTCCTGTCTTTTTTTCTCTGCAGCACGAACCTTACATTTACAAACCTACTGACGAAGAAATCAAGGAAAAAAGGTGGGAAAATAAATATGAACGTAATCGAAAAAAGTCAGCACTTAAGGAAATGTTGGAGAACAATATGGATAAGATGCATACTAATGTGAGGGTGTAGAGTTTTAATTTCACCCTTGTTAGTTTCAGTTTAGCAGATTGGCTGAGGAGAAAAAGCCCATCTTGTAGATCACTAAGGGAGTGTATTGAAACGAAGTAATTGTAACTTGCTTTCCTACTTTTAAAAGAGAATATAAACTCTTCCTACTTTGCAGACAGACATCTTGATCAACTCTAATATATCATATAGCTCTATTTTAATATTTTAACCAAATAGTGTATGTGCTATCTCCTTAAAGGCCCATTTTCAACCGAGATGCCTTGCGCGCCCAGATCATTTTTCATAATTATATGAAAAATACGCTATTTTCCTCTAAGTTGCGGAATCGCTTTGATATCGTCTTCCATCTTACTAATTAGGGCTTTCAAAGTACCATCTTGAATCATGTGCGAACAACAAACTATCGTAGTATCCATATCAGTAAATAGTTTTTAATTCTTACATGTATGACGGTGAAAAACGTCATTTGAAAAGTTGATACCGCCGAAGAAGCGGTCTTGTGGAAGACCGGGTCTGCCCGGCTCGGCAAAGGTTATTCGACTTCGAGAGTCTGTGTATGATTTATGGAGGGCAAGGAAAACAACAATGGGTTTTGGTAACACTACAGACAGTGCTTTTGCAGAAATGTTATTGCATTGTTCCTACGATGGAACTAGAGACTCCGGGGAGATTTTTTCGAGGTGAGAATAATTATTTGACTGATTTTTACTTGAGATCCTGAGATATGTTTGTAAGCGATCTTCATTTGTACAATTCATTATTCTATAATTGAAATGCGTAAAGTAAATCAGTTTTGGCCAATATTGGTTATTTGTTTATATTTTATTTAGTGTTGAAGCCGAACAATTTCCTTGAACATCAAGTAAGCTTTGTACAAGTTTTATACACAGACTCGATTTATGATTTTTCAGTCTCAAATATTTAGCTGCAAATTTGTTTACTGTGTTCTTCACCAAATCTTTGTTTTTCTTTTTAATAGTGTTTGTGAATGACTATCAGAGTTCGCCATTTAACAATAGCGCGATTCCAAAACAAAAACAAACGACTGCAAAGGATCTCGGATGAAAATGGGCCTTTAAGTATTCAACCTCCACCCATCTGTAACTGCTCTATGGCACTAGCCAACTCGAAAGCTTGGCTTCTTTGCCTACTACAAACTCTTTCCACTGCTTTGTGTAATTTCATTTTTAGTTAGAACTCTCTTCATTTTTTTTCACTTTTTTTCTTTCTTGCTGTTTTATTTTTTTAGTAGAATAAGTGTGAATAAAGTTCTCAAGTACTAACTCTTGATTGAAAATTAACCCTACTCGCTCTTTTTCACTCCTTTTAGATTGCGCCTGTGCTTCAATTGTGTGATGAATAAATATTTCCGAGGTTATGATAGAAAGTTAGACCTTTCCGGTTGGCAGTCAAGAGTGGCTTCGTTCAGTTCTGTCACACGTAAGGTCGAGAGGGACTGGGAAATGGTAAGAGTGTGTTAGCAAAGCATGGGTTTTGAAAAACTATTTCATTAACACAGTTTATTGTGACCATTTGACATTTCAAACCTTTGGTTCCATTTCTAACTTCTTTCACTACTATTTCAGGTTTACCTGGCGAGAACAGAAACTGCTTCAACTGGCCATATAACGTGGCAAATAGATTTGAATTCTTGTGATCTTGTGATCGATAGCGTTACAGTAATAGCTAGGAGCGACACTTTTCTGACTGGACGAGTGGACTGGAAACTAAGTGGGGATGAGGAGAGTCAAGTTGAAATGCTATCAGGAGGTATGAGTTAAAAGCTTATTCCTCCTCAAATATTCTTTAAATTTTGTAAAAGATAGGTTTTGAGATCTAAGAAATCGTCAACTAAAGGAACTTTTCGTTTGCATTTAATCGTATTTTTATGTGTTGTTCAGATATCGTGGAGTGGCGGGAAAATTTTGCGCGCTCTTGAGTGGCGGGAAATTTCATTATTGTAGACGCGTCCTGCCACGAGCGGGAGATTTATAATGCAGTCTGCACTGGCGCGAAAATTTAGGAGGAACGCTTCTTGCAAAGGCGGGAAATTGATGACGCGTTCACTTGTGATGGTAAAATCCTCGTCGCGTTCAGCTCTTTGCACCGAGTTGCATTCGCAAGAAGAAAACAAAAAGATAAAGAAAGATCAATTGTTAAAGCGTTATAAGTTTGCGAACTTGGTTTGTTTAAAGTCAACAGCATTATTTTTATTCAACATTCATTCTCTTCCATTCAACAGGTCAGGAATCTACTATAACGTCTGTACTCAGTGGCTCCAAAACTCTCAAATTGACGGCCGCGTTCAGTGGCGGGAAAGGAGACGTTGCTTGGCAACACGCTCAGATTTTTCGTCAGTCATTTAACAGTCAAAGTGAATATCCCCTCGATATCTTAGTCTTTATGAAAGAACCTGCACGTAATACTCATCTCTAGAGCTGATGACCACAGAGTTTGTTGCTACAGTGAAACCCTACTGAAATGAGCCCGCCACACAATCAACCTGTTAACAACACAGCAGTTAAACTCGGGCTTGCGCGGGGGCATCAATTCTGGCCGTCCGCGCGTCAATATCTCGCGCAAAATTTTAAAGAAAAGCATGAGAAAAAAACCGCTGTCATGCAAAGTTAGCGAAAGAAACGTGAAACGGTGATCGATGTCTGTAATGGGAAACAAAAGTAAGGAAAAGAAAACTCGAGACTGATCGAACACATAGGTTTTTTTCAAATACAGGTTCCTGCTGATTTACCGTTCTGTTGTAAGCTTTACCAAAAAACTATACGCTTTTGAAACGCCATGACTCACTGGCTTGTGTGATTGTTTGTAACTCGTGTGAGACAACTTGGTTCTGACAGCCTAAAGCACGCCACGTAGTCCGCCACTTATTCAACGACGTGCGCATATTCACAAACGTTTGACCGCTGTGTTCCTGTTATCCAGTCAATTCCCAGCTATTGACTGAAATAAAACAGTTCTTAACGAGCCCCGATATAACTAGGAAACTTCCTTAGACAGCCATTTGTGCAATGTTTGAACATCTGAGAATGCTTTAGTTGCTTGTCAGACCGAATGAGGTTTTTGCAATAGGTAATATGGTTATATCATCTAAGTTGATATTGTAAGTTAGCCACCGTAAAGAGTTAAAAAGCTGACGTTTCAAGCGTTAGCCCTACGTCAGAGCGAATGTAACCCTCACCGACGCAGCACCACAGTCTCTTTAGAAACTTACCCCCATTTTACAATAGGGTTTTACTGTAGCTTATTATTTAAAAGATAGTGAAAAACGTAGTTCTTTACACTTTATAGTCTTCAAAATATTCAGTTATTTCGTCCAACTTACTCGATTTAGGAATTCATTCTCAACTTCTCCTTTGTATTTTTTGTTTGCATTTATTAGTAACTTCTGTGGCAGTTTCTAAATTAATGAATTGCGTGTATGTAATGCAGCTACAGTAAGACTATAATTTACTGGATTGTAGAGCTATGTGAAGAAAAATTTAAATTTTTTACCACGAGGAACTTACGTTATGCTTATTGTAGGTGAATCAAAGCCAAGTTTAGAGCAAAGTATGCAATTTAGGAGAAAAAAAACTGCCTAGGGCGTTACGTCAACCACTCCGCCGGTCATTATTTATCGCCTGGGTGGGGAAGGGGGGGCGGACTGCTGGAGGATTTTGGTTGTGTCATGATGAAAATTACCTGACCTGACCTTCTCCATCCTGCAAGGGTTTGCACTATCCTCATGATTAGATCATTTTTCCAGCCAATTTTCTATAGTGCTTCTTTACACTCTGTCGGTGAAGACTGATGCCCCCTTCCGTCCCCCATTAAACCATGTAATCCACCCAAAATCATGCGACCTCCCCTCCCATGCGTCAAATCATGACTGCTCCCAAAATACCTGTTTTAAATGACTGACGGAAGTTCACCAATCACAGCTTTAGAAGCGACTGAAAGATACAAGTCTAACTACAGACTAGATTATGACCCACGGAGCTGGAATGTAATACTCCAGAAGACTTTCTTCATAGTTTCTTTGTGATCTTTGTGCAAACTATAGGGTAAAGAAGAGATTTTGAGAACCATAGCTTGGAGAATTAGTTGTACTCTGAAAATGTTAAATGATAGAAACATTTTAGTGATATCCAATGTTAACTTAGGTAGTATGTTGGAATACACCTAACGAATATTTTCGATTAAACGTCTTCTCGTTCTTCCAATTCAAGCTTCTTCATCCTTGGCCATCCTTTCCCTTACTAAATGGTGTCCTCTTTTTTGTTTATATATCTTACCGCACTATCATTTTGTTTCTTCTTCAAGCTGTAGTCTAGCGCGGGTAACTTTGAAGCAGAGCTCCTTCAACCGACTGTCGGCTGATTGTCAGGTGACTAACAATCTAATAATGAGGAAATCGAAACGTTTGTAAAATGGCAGCCATGAACTCGGACTTTGTGAGCAGAGGCTTGGTAAGCCTTTCATCTTATATTAACCTCACTATTCCTTGAATAAAACACATTAAAAAACGCTTAGTAGAAGAGCAGCTGATTTTTTATTAAAAAAAAAAACATTTGATGAGGCATGTGGTGCCAGCGGTAAATGCACACCATGATTTGCCAGATTTACTATGGGAGTGTATCACGGTGGGCTTAAAGTTTCCGTAAAAAGTTTCTTTACTGCTCCTTGTTTTATCGACGAACCAACATTTTGCATGAACGGACGAAAAAGTGGTCAGAAAAAGCCAACACGATCACGACACTTTAGAAGTTTCCGCAAATGAGCCAGTTCGTAACCGTATTGAAACTTCGCACAAAAGACCGTTTTTCGGCGCGAGAACAATTTTTGCACAATTTGTTCACCCTCTCCTACACCTCTCAATTTTTCAAAATTCTTTCCTCTTTTCAAAAATGAGAATTAAAACCTTATCTTTTTAACGGCTTCCTTATTTTTTCAACTTTTGTAACAGCTGTTCATTTCCCGCAAAATTTATTCAGTTAAAGTAAGTGCGCGTCTGAGCCCGCGTTGGGCAAGTACGCGCCTACGATCATCTGAGCCAGCAGTATTCTGAAAATAATATTGTGACATCCATGACGAAGATACGGAAATTCTTCTTTTGGCTGTTTTTATGGTAAGTGTGATATTTTTTTTATGTCTTATTTGGTGCAGCAAACTTGAATTTCACATGATAAGTATAATGTTTTTGCTGTTCCATTTTTATTTCTTTAAAATTCAAATATTTTGATAAGGGTTTGATTCTTCCAACACACGAGAACATATGCTACCTCTTGTAGGAGGTTGTTTCTAACAGTTTTTCAGATTTTGAGGTTTCAATATTTTTGGGTCTAGTGTGGAGGTATCGTTCTACTTTTTACTCATAGCTGGAAATGGAAATATTTGTCCCGCCATCCGTCATAAGTTGCGATCTTTTTCTGAATATTACAGTTTTTCCCATAATTCATGATTCAGCATTCACTGCCTACTGTAAACTTTAAAAATAGATACAAATTATTTCATTTTCGAGGATTCTAGAGTCATGTATTTTGTCATAATTCCAAATTTTCCGAATATCTACGTCGTTTGTGGTGTTCATGGTTAATATATTGGCATGTTAAAATAATGTATGAATGCAGATTTTAACCGTCACTACTTAACAATAAATTTTGTCATGGATAATTTTAAGTGTCTGGTATAAATTGTAAACATTTGTCAGGTACAAGTTTAATTTGAAAAATCAAGGTTAGTTAAAGGTTAGGCTTCAGCTATCATGAGCAGTGATATCTGATCAGATTTGTTCATCTAACTTTGTTTTCTTTACACGATCTGATCGTAGGTAAAACAGGATGGCCGTCGTGATTTTAGATCGTTTTCAAGAAGAGGTATGGTTCTTTAAATCATTCTTTGTGCTTTTTGTGACAAGGTTGGGTAAAAATAGCGTAGTCCTGTTGTTTTAACAACCTGCAGTTCTGGCAAAATGTTCCTTTCAAGTTTAATTCAAATTCAGTAAATTCATCAGAACTCAAAAAGAACCAGAGAAGCTTAAAGAGGGGAGAATGTATATGTTGTAGTTCAATTTTATCCATGGTTCAAATTTTATTTTCCTTTGTTTCAAACTTATTATCATACTTAAACATGACTGAGAACAAAGGAAAATAAAATTTGAACCAAGTATAAAATTGAACTACAACATTATATGGAAATTACTAGCGAAAACTGAAATTACTAATTGTTACTTATATACAGTTGAACTCATATCAAGCAGCATTGTTACCCTGTCTTAAGCAGTTGGTTTTCAAGGTCCTGAAATTTTTACCCCTTAATTTCTGTAAATTTTACCTCTATTATATGGTCGTGGTCACCCTTTACTGAGTCCCAATGGCCTGTTTGTATTGTTTTCCACCTGTATTGAACAGTCACCTAAAGCAGAACCACTCCAATAAAGCTAAGAATAATCTTTAAAGTAAAATTTAATCCAAATTTCTCCTCTGAAATCAATGTTGGTAGTACTTTTAAGCAAGTTTTTGTACATTAAGTGGGCAACTATAGCTGCAAGTAACATTTTTTTACTGTTCCTATCTAGTACCTCGTTTCTGTAGAACCCGTAATTTAAGTGGTTAACCTGTCTGAAGCAGACTCGCTCTGCCATTTCTCCGAGGTTGACTGCTTAATTATACAGGTTTGACTGAGTGTATGATGTTGACCATCATCTGATTGCATTGTACTAACTTTTGAAAATGTTAGTAATACTCTGACATCATGGGAAAAAGTTTGGTTACTGGAGTTAAATGAAAATGTGCTCTTTTAATTCACTAAATGCCCTTTATAACTCTATTGTATCTTATATAATTACTTAATTTGTTCACAGTATGCAAAACAGGAGCTGAAATTACTCTACCTAAATATTACCAAGACTGATCTCCTTCCATTGTCATAGCATGATTTAAAAATGTTATGTTCTTTAAACACAGAATGAAAGACATTTTTTTGCAAGACTTCAGAGTCAGGATGGGGTTGTACAACTCTATGAACAACCCAGCTTACAGCAGCAAGCTCTTGACCTAATGCCAGTATCTGAAATGAGAAAAGAGGCAAGAAAGGAAAGTGAACAAACGGGAAAGGACGAGAGGGATTGTCTAATGCATCAAGTCAACAAATGGTTTTATGGTATGTATATATTAAACCTTGGGAATATGATTATTAAATTCATATGAGCATCTCATTCATATGAGCATCATGCTCATTCATATGAGCATCTCATGAGCAATTCTGTCGGCCTCTCTAAATCTCCTGTAATACTGGCAAGGAGAGGTTGTTTGACAATTAGGAGCTTCTTAACCCAAGATCTCATGAGCAATTCTCCTTACTTTCTGCACATTTTACAACCCTTCAATATCTGCATCACCCCCAAACCCATTACCACACTACATCCGTTACTAGGGACCTTAAGAAACCACCATGGCGATGGCAACGTGGACGTGGAAAAACAAGAGATCTAATTGGCAGAACAATAGCTCAGCACGTGCATTTTGAAACTTTGTACATTTCTTAGCTGTCCTATGCAAAACAACAACGTGAAATTGCCAAAATTTGCATCTTCTGCGAACCGAAACCACGACAGCAAATTATTTTAATTTCCATTTGGAACTAAATGGCTGCTTTATAGGTCATGCTGAAGTTGAGCTGTGGTGCTGTATGAGACAGTAAGCTCCTGCAGCCATTTTTGAAATTCTAACTAAGAGTACAAATTCATTTTTTAATCGAAGTCTTCCTTGGCGTCGCTGTCGTGGTTTCTTAAAGTCCCTACTAACAACATTTAAGACAAGGATGAACTGAGGAACAGACAGGGAGTGATTTCTAAGATCAATTGCTCCAACTGCCAAGCCTCCTACATCGGAGAGACTGGCAGAAACCTCATAACAAGGCTGACTGAACACATACAGGCAATGGGGAAAGGTGATATCAACAATCACATTGCTGATCATCATCGACTTATGAACCACTGACAATATTGGCTGGGACTCTGCGCAATGCCTAACCTACAGCACTAACTACTTTCAACGACTGAGTCTGGAAAGCTGGTTTACTAACTTAGAACAGACTCCCCTTAACAGTGTCAACTACTACTGGCTCCATACAAACGAATCATTCAGGACATTAACATTACAAACAAACCGAACAGAATGACCTAACTGTACCAATGGATCGAAACAGACCAATCATGACCAACTTACGCCACTTGAGTCATATAGCCAATATCATCATCATGGCAAAACTGACCAATCATTTTACACGAACTGGACTTAGAACATTCTACTGACAACAACTATTCACTTGACTCTGATGATGACTTCCACACAGGTTGTCGAAACATCAGTCACTACCTCCGACAACAGTCCTTCTCAGGACTACACTCACCCGGACAATCACACTACACTTTCACACAATTCTTATGATATTAGCTCAATTATCTGCATGATATTGTATTGAAGTTGTAAGGAGAAATGCTGTCTTGGTCACTGATGGGAGTTTAAGAGTTAAATTGATGGTCATTTCCTTGATCGTCATGACCTTAACCTTTTTACGCCCAAGATCTGATTAGAAAATCTCCTTACCGCTTATCATACAATTTTTATGATGTTGGTTTGGAGAATTCTGGTACTGGATCAACTACATCTTTCCTAATTGATAATTTTCTCTCCTTATTACTTGTCTGCTTGATATTGTATTAATATATTAAGGAGAAATTCTGTCTTGGTCACTCATGAGAATCAAAGGGTTAGGTTTAAATTTGTGCGATTCAAGGGTGATACAGTAAGGAGTTATGAGAGGACTGCAGTCATTCTATACAGTTAAAGGGAATGTTCTCCTTGTCTGAATCAAGAAATAGCTCAGGCAAGCTATGAAAATTTTGCAAGAGTATTTTGCACAGTACCTTGAAAATTCTACAATCTCTGATGTCTCCCAAACATCCAGCAACAGGCATTCTCTTTATTTTTGAAAATTCATATTGAGGCTGTCTTAAAATCATAATTTGGATTTATCAACAAAGTTGAAATGGTAAATTGGCCACTGTAACGATTACAAAAGCTGACGTTTCGAGCGTTAGCCCTTCGTCGGAGCGAATAAAGGAATTGTGGGTTGTGTGCTTTTAAAGGCAGAAAATGGAGCTACGTTATTGGTGGGAACATGGCAACGAGAAAAACACAAATAAATTAGTGGAATGAAAAGTGCTCATTGATCTCTGTGGGATTTAGACTGCCAGTTTGAAAGATGAGCTTTTGTTCGAGAGTTTTACGGCTTTCCGTGCTACCTAAATGTAAGGAAAGACCGCAGATTGCCATATGTTGCTTAGAATGATTAGGTAAGATCAGACAATTTGCTGAATGTACAGTTTCACATCCATCCTCCCGGTCAGCTCAATTAGTTAGAGTGCCGGATTGCGTTGTGCTGGAGGTCGAGGGTTCGAGTCCCGGCCGGACCAATACTCATGGTCTTAAAATAAGTGAGGAGAATTTGCTACTGCTCTATAATATCAAGAAATGGATAGATATTCTAGTCTTCTTGGATAAGGACAAATAAAACGTAGGCCCTGTCTCCTGCAGGGTTAGGGGTAGGAGACGTTAATTTCCCACGCACGAGATTACTGTGTGGTGGATGTCCTCCCCTGGGGTGGGATGGGTGGGTGTTGCTCGGCATATTAGCATGTATTGCTAGAGGCCTAATCAGCTTCGACAACCCGAGTTGAAATAAAGTTACCTACCTACCTACCATTCAAGAGATGCAGAAATCCTTAAAAATGCTGTGACAAAACATCCAAAGAGGCTTTAAGAGTAAGGCATGTGGTTCCCTTCCCCGACAGGGATGCCACTAAGTAGAGGAAACTGCTTCATTGCTCTTACATACCTTTAACTCACATATTGTGTTTGAATTTAGGTTCTTTTTTTCGCTGGCTGGACAAACCAAAGTGCTCACGATGTGGCACAGTAACAAAAAACATAGGGCTACTACCCCCAACAGTAGAGGAACGCAAATGGTTAGCCGGACATGTAGAGGGATACAAATGCCCTAACTGTGGGGCAGATGAAAGATTCCCTAGATACAACCATCCAGGAAAATTGTTAGGTATGAAAGTGTGAAAAGTGTGTGTTGAAAAGGGTATCACAGTTCTTATAACAAAAAATCATGCATGGGATCACACATGTGATCACACATTAATTAATCAGCATGCACTAATCCCTGGCTGAAAAATTTCTAAAATGACCAGGTAATTTTTTTTAACTTTTAGTAGAGTTCTTCCTTATTTTAAGTGAGACAGGTAAAAGAAATTTTCAAACCTACAGAGCAATCTAGTGACCTGTTGAATTTCCGAAAGTTCCAAGAAATTTTAGATGGTAATTAGAGATATAATGTACCACCACATTTTACCAGTCACCCCACAAGGAGATCACTGAATTTACGGAGGAAAATAGTGGACAATGACAGTTACTGTAAGTTGTTTTCCATAAAAGATATGATTACTACAGCTTGCAGTACTGGCAAAATGTTTTTGCATATTCAGGTGAATAAAGGGGTAACTGTGACATGATTGCATGCAGTGAGTGACTCTCTCCTCTTTACATGCTTAACTCACTCTTCACAATCACCTTACACTTGCTTTTACTCATCTGAAAATGCAGGGTTCTATTTGGGGTCAATTGCAATATTCTCTCAGCGTCTAATTTCCACCTGTATTTATCAATTCATCCTTACAAAGGGTGTAGGATTGCTATTAAAATATTATAAGTCTTATTTTTTTTTTGAGCTTTCTATGGTTTCACAGCAGAGGAGAGAATACATAATTTGTTTCTCTCCCTTTCTTTTGTATAATTGGAAGAATGGGAAGAACAGGGCCAAAACCTTGAAAATAGCATATGTCATGGGATAAGGATTATAAATTTCTGCAAGGCCTGCATGCAGAGTGATGTAATATGCAATTAACTTTCTCTCAGAAACGCGTCATGGTAGATGTGGGGAGCATGCAAACTGTCAGGCCTTGCTGCTTCGCTCCATGGGTTTTGAAGTTCGTCATGTCACAGATTGGACAGATCATGTATGGGTGGAAGTTTATTCTTATCAGGAGCAAAGATGGATTACTTGTGATAGGGATTACTTAAGCCGGGAGAGAGAAGGAAAGAAATTGAGTTATATCATGGCAGTATCTGATGAAGAGGTATAGTTCATGTGTTTCAATGAAAGGAAAAATATTAATATAATTGTGCTTTTTGTATTTAGTAACTTAATCCTTTCACTCTTAAGATATCCCTTCACTCTCTCAAGATCTTATAAGTGATCGATCTCGTTACTATCTTTTGTACAATTCTTTCTGATATTAGTTCTGAGGATTTGGTATTGGATCAGCAAATGATCCCCTTATTGATATTTCTCTTTATACTCATCAATCGTCTGCTTGATATTATGTTGACATTGTTAGGAGTAATTGTGTCTAGATCATTCATGGAGTGAAAGGGTTAATTCAACAGATACAGAGAATGTTTAACCTAGAATCAGCAGTTTTTTCTGTTTCATGTTTTTTTCTCTTTTTAATTTTGCTGCAGGAAAGCGAGCATCTTCATTAATTCATGTTTATAGTTTTCTTTTCTTAACATTGTAGTTTACTTTTCAATGTGCAGTTGTCAGTTCTTGGTTTTTTTTTTTTTCCTCTCTACAGACTGTGGATGTCACATGGAGATATTCTACTAAACAGAATGAAGTTATGCAGCGAAGGTTACATGTGAGTGAGGGATGGCTAGCAAAGGCATTAGCATTTTTGAACCACCAGGTCGGTTACTCCTTTCAACTTTCTTGCAGGGCATAATAAGGACTTTAAGAAACCACAACGGCGACGCCAAGGAAGACTTCGATTAAAAAATGAATTTCTACTCTTAGTTAGAATTTCAAAAATGGCTGCAGGAGCTTACTGTCTCATACAGCGCCACAGCTCAACTTCAGCATGACGTATAAAGTAGCCGATGTGTTCCAAATGGAAATTAATATAATTTGCCGTCACAGTTTCGGTTCGCAGACGACACAAATTTTGGCAATTTCACGTTGCTGTTTTGCATAAGACGGCCAAGAAATGTACAAAGTTTCAAAATGCACAGGCTGAGCTATTGTTCTGCCAATTAGATCTCTTGTTTTTCCATGTCCTCGTTGCCGTCGCTGTCATGGTTTCTTAAGGTCCCTAATTACTGCTGCAAGGCTGCGAGTAGCACAAAAGTGAATGAATAAATGACTGAATAACTTTATTTAGACATGTGGCATCGATGAGTCTAAGAAAAAGACTCATTGCAAAAATTTATGTGTATCTACAATAGCTATAAGCTAAAAAAATGTATGTAAAAGAGTATTTAAAAAATCTGGCTAAGAATTATTACGAAGAATTTAAAACCATTTATACCATCAGCTACAATATGATCTAGCCAGACTAAGAATCACAAGTTAATATAACTTTCCTAAGTTGGGTAAGAAAATTTTTAAGGTTGGGGGCCTCTCTAACATGTGAATTAGGTAAATTATAAACTATAAATTAAGTTTCTGTGTCTTACAAAATTTAGGACCTGTACCTTATCAGTTAAGTCAAACTTATACCCCATTCACACTAGCAAAACTTGTTTAGTTACACCAGGTTTAACTGAATGAAAATCAGAAACAACTGAAAAATTCAATATTCCATAGGTTTTTAATTAGTCCTAACTTGTCTTTTTGTTGTGCTCAATTTAAAGCTGACAAACATCAGTTTAAGCAGCCACTAGTACTATGAAGAAAACATGTTTAACCTGTGTTTATTACAAAAGAGCTTAAAGCAGGTTTAAGCTTTGGTGTGAGTGGGGTAATTTAGACAAAATTAATGCTCTTAATCATTTTGAAACTAACACTACTGGAAACCCTTTGTTGTGATTTTGGCAATTAAATGAAATGTGTACTGACCAATCACATTGAAACTTATTACAAAGTCATGAACAAATCTTGAACCACAAGCTAATCATGGTTGCTGTCTGCAGTTTAGTTTTATGACACCTGATTGGCTATTTTTTTGATCCACTGAAACATTCCATAAATAGATTAAGAAAGATGATAAATTTTGAACGTGGTAAAGAAACAGGCAAAGATTTTTTTTTGTCACAAGCATGGGAGAAAGAAAATGTTCCGAGTCCCCACTATGAATCGAACCTCAGAATTTGCAGGTCATAGGACTTAGAATTTTTCCTTTGTCCCATACTTGTGAAAAGACAAATAAAAACACCTTTTTTCCATAGTGAATATTTCTGGTATTCATAGTTTTCTGAGTTTCACTGACAGAAATCTTGAAAAAAGTAGCAGTAGCTCATGCTAATCATAAGTTAACTTGTCTGACTCCTGGACATTAAACACTTTTATCACTGTTTCAATTTTTCTCTGGTTCTATGTTTTGTAGAAGCAACAAAAGCTTCCCCCTGTGAGGCGTCAAACACTCAGGGAGCGTTCAGCTCTGGATTTAGCTGAATTTCTTTCAAACTATGAGAGAAAACTTGAATCAAAGGTAAATGCAGTCAATCTCATTTAGTGACACGAATCTCTATCCAAGATATATAGAGCTCCATGGAAAAAAAAAAAAGACAAGTTTTGGTACAACCGTAACAATGTTTTCCTAGTTTGTAGCTGTTTCTTCTGTTTGAGTGAGGAAGCATAGCCATGTGTAGCTATACCCCCCCTGAGGAGAAATGGAAGGGAGGGGGGAGGGGGAAGGGCACAGGTACACACAGGCTAGAGGAAACAGTGTCGTGCCCTTACTCATGTAACTTCTGCACTCTTAAAACAGTTTTAGTAATTTTTAATTGGTTTTTTTTTTTATTTTGAATTACAGCACATACCTTATACATTTTCACCCACTGATGAGGAGATAAACAGCAAGAGGTAATTTTTAATCTGTTAATTAATATATACACTTTAAGGCTTTTTTCTTAAACTATTTACATTCAGTTAACTCTGAAATAATTCCTCCCTCTACCTGCCATGAATTCTCTTCTAAGTTATAGTTTATATAATTTGGTGTTATGTCAAAATAACAGCCATTAGCGAACAACTTTCATTGTTTTTTCTCTTCCCCTGCATTTCCTTTTTCTTCCAAAATTTACATCTATGATCGCATACATGAACAGGTGTACCACCTTTTACCCTCATTTTTTGCTTAAGTCCGCAATCAGTGAAAAATTCCACTGGACAATGCCCCACTCATCTCCTTCCCTGTTGTGAACAAAATTATGTCACCTAGGATCATTGTTTGTCTCCAGGTGTGCCAGGGTAAAACCCTTAGAGAATGTAGACCTGGCTGAGAATCTGAATTAATTATGTATTTTCCCTGTTAAGGTTACAGGTGCAGTATTGTTGTGCAAGTGACAAATACTTCAGGGGATCCAAGATGGAGACATTCTTGCAAGGTTGGAAGTCTGGGGCAGCGGCCGTGAACTCAGTCTTCAGGAAATGTGAACATGATTGGACAATAGTAAGTTGAATAATGTATGTGTTACATGAGAAATACAGAACTTATGGGGTACATATAAGCAGAAAACAGAATCTAACTTGTAGAATCTTCTCATCTTTTGCCTTCTGACCCTCTTTTTTCTTTTCTTCCTTCCCTTCAACTTTCTCCTTCTCTTCATACTTTTCCTTTATGCACTCATCCTTTTATTATTGTTCTTCCTGCTCCTTTCTGACTCATGCATCTGTTCCTGCTCCAGATGCTGTTTCTTTAATTGCTTCTCCATGGTCTCTTCTCCTCCTGTTCTCCTACTGCAGCTCCTCTGCTGTTTTTCTTGCTCCATCTTTTCTCTGCCTTCTTCCTCTATTTTCTCTTTTCAGTATGATCATTGTCTTTAATAAATTATTGTAACAATCCATGCAGGTACTTGACTATCTTCGTTCTCGCGGAGTGGAAGAAGCTGATCTTACTACATTACAGAAAGGAAATGTAAGAACATGTTTGCCACTCTTGGGAAATTCAAATTTCCTATTAACATGAAAGTTATGATAGCACTTTTAATTAAAAGTATTAGCTATTTTTCAGATGTTACTCAAGAGTTATCTTTAGAACTTTCTCAGTCAAATCCACTTTTTCATTATAGAGATAACACAATGTGCACAAGATCTAAATTTTTTATCTTGATATATGATCTGAGATGAAGTATTTTTGAGAAAAAATATTTTCCAGAGTGAAAGGACATTATTTCTCAGTAGTGCCTCATAGGAGCTATTGCATGAAGAGAGAGAAATTATTATTCTAATTTTTTCACAGGCTTTCCTTGCCCGTCTTCCTTCCTCGCCAACTGGTTTGGTTTCGTGGACAATGGATTTCTCTACCTCTGGTTTGGTGATTGACAGTGTCACCATTGTAACCTGTTGTGTGACAATGGAAAGTGGAAAGGTTGACTGGAAGCTAGAGGGAGATGATGACATTGTAGAAAATCTGACTTTCATCAGTCAGCATGGTATGTTATTTGCTGTCAAGCTCAAAAAAGCAATGAACGTCAGAGCTACGTTATGCATGTTTATTGTGTCTAAAAAGTTACAGCTGATTTCTTGATATATTCTTGAGCTATGTCAAATGCAGAACTCTGTAAACTTACCCTTATGGGAGCATTAATCATTTAATTTGCTCAAATTGAACTTGTTTTTGTGAACACCAATTTTCTGACAACCAATTCTACCAAACATTTTCATCATTTTCGTGGAAATGATATCTGAATCATTACTCAACAAGAAGTAATCATTTTTTGACATGAAAACAATAAAACAGCCTCTCTTTTAGCTTAATGTGCCCATACCTAAAAAATGAGTCTAGTTTTCTCCCTGTAAATTGCAATCAGCCCATCAACTTTTGATTTAATGCAAAGTTTCAACAACTCTGTTCTTTTGGTACAGTCTGAGCTACCTTTAGTTAATTTTTTTGAACTTGGCTAATTAAAAAATATTTGTATGCCATCAACTTTTGTAGCACCTAAGTATGATCCATTAAGTTTGCCTTAATTTTTTTTCTGATGATTTCTAGATTGCAAATCACAAAAAACTTCATCCCTCAGTGGCTGCAAGACCCTTAAACTGACAGCTGCCCTCAGTGGTGGAAGAGGCAAGTTGGCTTGGAAACATGCTCAGCTTTGCAGCCAGCCAATTGACAGCGAGGGAGACCCTTCCTTAGATATTACCATTACACTAAAGGAGTCAACAGCTTAGGTTGTGTGTTGACAAGTTTTGTAATGAGTGGTCTTAAGGCTACAGCCTTTGTAATTTTACCATAAATCAAACAGTACCCTCTGGGTGTGATTTTAAAGAAGGGAGGCATAATTAGTCATTTCATGACTATACTTCCATTTTACTACCTCTAGGTGGCTTTAGTAAGCCAGAGAAAGGAAAATATTTATTGTTGTTAACACTTTTTAGTAGGGTAAGTAAGTCAAAATAGTTAACATTTAATAAGCTGCTATAAAGAGAAAATAATTAATATAGCCAAAGTGAGGTTGTGGATACATTTGGGATTGTTAGCAGGCTAACTTAAAAATTGATTTTTTTAAGCAATGTCCCTATATATGTCAGGATTTTATCAGTCATTCATGAATTGGCAGAATTGCTGTAACAATTGTACAAAGTGGGATTTCTTGAACAAATCAATAACTTATTGACAAATAGAAAAGGGGATGCACTATGTGAATTCAAAAGTGAACAAACTCTTAGGGAGTAAAACAGGTTTATTTATTAACTGCAAATTGTAATGTTTTTTAGGAGTGCAATGAATATCGAAATTGTCAGTAGATGTACTCCCTAATGTTTTAATTGTCATCAACTTTACATTGTAATAAACAAGTACAAGATATGAATATGAGTATCAATTGTCCATTTTGTTCTGTGGTTTCATCTTGCGAGCATGTTCATGGTATTGGTACGCATGTTCTTTATACAGCCAGCTGCTGCCTCCTGGACTCTTTCATCGTCTGAGCTTGTCAACGCCAGTAAGGTCTGATGGGATTAGATCAGATGGAAAAAAAAAATCACTTCAGAACTAGGCGCATGCGCAATGACATTCTACATAAGATACATGCATTGTAAAATACACAGCACGTTCATACGTCGAATGTAAGGGATTGCCAATTAATCGTGAAGATTCCTGATCGGGTATTGACCAATGAGAGACTTGTGTGCTGTAAGGTGGTCAAAAGTGATTTTTTTCATAGTCTGAAATGCAAAATTAGACTGCAGCAATAATTTAGGTTTGAGAGATGTGTTAATGCCTTTCTGTTGGTTGAACAATGACAAACCCTGTAAAGTACAACCATTTGCTTTACCTTCAGTGCGTCATGTTGCTGAATTATAAAGCAGTTATATGGGTCAAGTGACAGTCTTTCCAGTGCGCAAGCGACCGCTCGCTTTACCGCCACGCCAGAGGATCGTTTGAGGCTATTAGCAAGGGGGACGACCGCTGACGAGAAGGACTTCACATTCTTGTCTAATCCACTGCATCTGAAAGGAGGTTAAAAACAAAACTGGTTATTAAGTCTTTATTATCACTATTATCAACCAATGGTAATTTTTGGTTTGCGACTGAATGTCACAGTCTCATCGCTTGTCACGTTTGTCACACATTCCGTCTCGGTGTTGTGTGACCAAGAATGTTACTCTATGCTTTGTTGCAGTAAATGGTTTGAACCCGGGGGGATAACATGCGAAAGTGTAGCGTGATCGTCCGGGTGAGTGTAGTCCTGAGAAGGACTGTTGTCGGAAGTGGTGACTGACGTTTCGACAACCTGTGCGGAAGTCATCATCAGATTCAAGTGTCTGCTTTGTTGTTACTTACAAGTATCTATGCTTTGTTGCAGAGTCTATGCTTAGTTGTTACTTACGTTGCTATTGCCTGTGCTACCCATCTTTTTAACTCTTCGTCTTTCTGAAAGGTAAGGATCCTTAAAATTATCCAACAATAATTTAGGGTCACTATCGATTGATATACTGCAGTCTTCATGAACTAATTCGGTCGAAGGTTATACGCCGCCATTTATTTGACAAGATGGTAAGCAATGAGGGGTGGAGGTTTTCCGTGAAACGTGATCGGCTGTTTTTAATTACCGTGACTCATGATTGTAAAAAGTTAAAAGCCGTGAACTGTGAACGATATGCCAGTCGTGATACGTGAAACAAATAAATTATTTTCCGTTATCCGTGAGAACTAAAACGACTGAAAAGAAAACGCAGTTTTTTCCGTGGAAAATTACTCGCCGAAGAGTTGTTTACAAAGCAACGCGAAACTCTCCAAGAGTTCTTAACGTGACCTTCTTATCTTAGATCTTGCGTGACACCTGATAAGGGTATGAATCAGTTTAGCTCTTTGTTTTTCTTTTTACAAAAAGGCACCATTGTATGAAGAAAAACATTGGAACTGGCGCTTGGCATGCAATAAGGAAGAAATTCACAATGTTAAAGTTTTCAAAAACGCAAGATCTTTTTTCAGTATCATGTTATTTACTGTGAAGCGTGAAAGGAGAATATTGATTACCGTAATTTGTTATATTTAACAGTCGTGAATCGTTCTAAGGACCCCCTTACGGCCTCTCAGCAATGATAGACAGCATTCAATGAAGAGCCTCTTTTCTGCTCACGAAAAGGGCTGAGGAGGGTGGACCTTCACCTCCAACCTCGTTCCCAGGGTCTCTCATCTTCCCGCCCCTCTCCTCGCTCGCTCCAGGGGGCGGGAAGATGAGAGACCCTGGGAACGAGGTTGCCTCACCTTCTACAACTAAAACTGTTTGGTTAGTTAAAGGGGCACATGGTCTCTTGACAGGTAAACCTGTCTATACTCACCGTATACACTAGTGATATGAGAAGCGGCACCACCTCGTAATCTGTCAGAATGGACAAGTTCTCTCTGTCTCTTCCAATGCTGATTATTGCTTTGTTTACACTTATTAGCACCTGATGAAGGAAAAAAAAAAACTTCTACTCCTGCAAAAATTGTCGTAGGTTAGAATGGATTTTACTGAGGATTGTGCATCGATCAATTCAAAGCTCCAATAACCCCCCGGGCAAGCCATCTTGGGCAGTCCCCCCGGGCATTTGAACTTTTGAAGATTGGTTTGTTCAAATTCCCGCCCCACGGGGTAAAAATTGTGCTGAAATTCCCCACCCAATTTTAATGTAAGTTTGACCAAACTTTAAAACTTAGACCTTGTAGACATTTTCTTCTAAGCCATTCGCCTGAATTAAACACCTCCATATTTAAAGATATAACACTTATATTCCTCAGGAAAGACTTGACAATTCTGGTTCAAATTTCCCACCCCAGCCAGGCAAGGTTCAAATTCC